GTGTTAATATTGCGTATAAGGTTTAATAATTCTGTTATAACGAATCAAGTGAGTCACCTCTCGTTAAGTGAATGTCACGAGAGATTACTAGGATATCCTCGGATCATCATTTCTGTAAATAGTGAGATCATGATTTTTGTTAATTTTATACATTTTATTCTTTAAACAATAGACTCCGAATGTTTAGCTAAATTCTATTAACATCATTTCACGCGTCACTCGTAAGTAGAGAAGGTACGTCACGATCCGACAAGTTTAATTTCAGTTTCGAAGCATGTGTCTCAGAATAGAATGAAAGTTGAGTAATTCCACTCGAAAGAATAGTAGGAAGTAATTTAATTCTACGTAAGCACGATTCAATCATTCTTTCATCCGTTTCTACGATAACGTCGCGAGTCACGGGACACCCTTTAAAACTTCCAGGGAACTTGGCAGAGGTTCCTTGCGTTATCCTTTAAATTTCGCAGCGATGGAACTTGGACGGGCACGGAATTCGATGGAGATGATGGACGCCGATCGAACTTCCTCTGCCAAGGATCCCAGGAAAGGGAAACGGCAAGATCGAATGGGGCGATGGGGTGAAGGTTCAGGCTATTTCAGGAAGCCGTAGTGATTACGCTTCGGTCGCCAATGAGAGCTTATCTCACCACCTTGTAAAGAAGTGTCTATATATATACGTGGCCATTACTGGTCGCGCGGTGGGATGCTGCGCCCCTTCCAACCCCGTAACCCCTGACCCGTCGGCCTGCCCTTGCGTCTAAACCCCGTCAACCTCGGTAAGTTATTATGTCGTGAAAATAAGGAGAAAATTGGAAAGCGGTTTAGCCGTGAAAGTGGCGTCAATTACCACCGGCATTCCCGATACTTGCGGGGATGCTATTCTACGGGTGATTAAACGGCCCGATCAAAGCCATTCATGGTGCACCGTGTGATTCCCAGTGTGAATGCTTCCTGATCATCAATTTACGAGCAATGTGATTTTTCTGATTAATTGGATTCTGAAGAGGGAATCATTGAGGTAGTGGGGGTTGAAGGGTAGTTGACTGAATTAAACCTTTGCACTCGGAAGTTTCTCATTAGAAATATTTTAATGTTTTCTGATGAGATAGAGAGGATATTTTGTTTGAATATTTCTCAAATTGATGCATTATACGAAGTTTATTAAGTCTGAAATTTTATAGTTTTACTGTATGAAATCAATTGGTGAGTGAGAGGCACCTCTCAAAGGGTTAAGGGGAGATGATAGTAATTAGTAAGAAAATCGGTTTGATATGGAATTCCGTGTTATGATTTTAAGGAATATTGAAGCATTCCGAATTCTAACGAAAGGTAACTGTGCTTGAATCTACTCCATCGTCTGATAATTCCCAGTCATTTCCACTTGCATTAATCACTGTAACAATTAATCGCGGCTGTTCAGCGACCACTTCCCTGATACTATTCAAATAGACTTCACGGTCGAACTTCGAAATGATGGAACTCCTAGGAAATACTCGCAAGTGTAACGTCTCATTAATAACCGACTTGTACTACTGAATCGCTACGTCCAAACTTCACAACACCATCAATTCTCCATCCCCGAAGAAGTACCGCTTTTATATTCACAAGAAAATACAACTTCGACATCATCGAATAAAAAACAAGAAATAAATTCCAATAAAACCCAATTCGAATGATTCTAAAATAATCTTCCAATATGAATCAGCATCTACCTCGAGTCATTCAGTCCCCGTTTTCCCATTCAGTTGCTAACCGAGTATTCACAAGAAAACACAACTTCGACATCATCGAGTAAAGAATGAGAAATAAATTAATCCAGTTCGAATGATTCTAAAATAATCTTCCAATATGAATCAACATCTACCTCGAGTCATTCAGCCTCCTTTTGCCATTCAGTTGCTAAGAAGCGAGTTACTTAATTACGATGGAAAATCGATGAGGCCGGCGACACAGAGAAGAAAATAGAGGCCGCAGCGTTCACCGTCGGCGACAAAAAGCAGCCGTCCCGCGGCTGACGCGCCACAAAGTCAGACCGTCAATCATCACGGGACACCGACGCTTTATTGAGATAAAAAGAGCCGCCCATTGGCTCCGTTACGAGTAGACCTGCGGCGGTAATGATGCTCGCAGGAGAAGAAGAGGGGAATCGGTGTCCCATCGATCGCGCGGCGCCGTCTCCTTCCCCTGAGCCCGCTTTTGTCGCGGATAAAGGAAACCAGTGGTTCGAGTCCGTGGAAAATCGGACCGATCGCTCGCGCCCTGGACTCGCGGCTCGATTGATGCCCGCGTCAACATTGTAGCAGAGATAGCCGCAAGTGTGAAGCTAGGAAGCATATATGTATATACATATTAATATAAACTATTTATTTATTTATCTGCCTCCGCCATAAAGGCGCTATGTTGTATTTAAGGGGGAACATTTTTTGAAAAATAAAGTATCGTAGTTAGGACTGTACTGGGGAAAGTTTCCCAAGATACAATCGCCGAAGAAGAGTATCCGCACGTGTTTCGAGATCTGCTTAGAAATCGAAGACTATCGATAGGAATTTTCTCATTTTTCTAAGATTGCGAGGTAATTATTGAGTCCCAGATCAGAGAATTTGTGAATGTATTGCAGTAACATTCAATATGTAGGAGTAAGAAGAGTGCTTGTGGGGGAGAGAATGATTTTTAAGTGATGGCGAGAGATTTGGGGAGAGTTGCGTTGACTTGAGGGAAAAGACCTGTACTTGTATTCTATTCAATTATCTATTGCTATGTTTTTTTTAAATAAAATATATTTAAATACCATTGGTACCATAACATTTTGCTTTTTTTTCTCGCGAGCCATGCGAACGCACGTGGACAACGACACGGACGGACGGTGTAATGAAAGGGTGCGACGACAGGGTGGAGGACAGGGTAATCCGAAAAATATCCCCGTGGAATATCGGCACCTGTTGTCCCCTTGAACTCGTCGGAGCACTGGCATCGTACCAGGATGTTTAATAATTAGAGATCGACTCGAGTATGATCGCCAGTGGACTCGAAGCTAGTAGTCGAGTACTCCGAGTTGTGAGTATTTTGGAGACAAGTGTTTTTAAAATTGAGGGAGGATTTAGGGATAGTTGTGGAGTTGTTTGGAATTATTCTGGGACGTTGTCTTGAGGTGGAATTAAATCTTGAATAATATAGAAAATTTGGGAATATGTAAATTAGGTGATTCAATGGTATAAATATTCAGTTAATATTTTTGTTGCATATAGGATTGAATAGAAACTCGGGTAGAAATGAAGCAATAGTATTTTTCTACAATTTCTCGTCCTCTTTCCTATCGTTTCAATTATTCTCCTCGATCCTCATCGCAACTAATGAACCGGAATTATTTTATTCACGACCCGTTCAGCATCGCCTCGGATTCTCATAAATCCAGGAAAAACCTGTAACGAGGTACATTTAAATCCCTCTCGTCGTTCGTGGGATTGCAAATGAATTTACAAATAATTTCATAAACAAAGATTATCCCGATGATCGATACGCTTTTGCGTTTTGCCGGTTGGATTGTTCGATCGTCGTGTTCCCGAGTGGAAAGAGTGGGATCTGGGAAATGTTACGACGAGCATGTGGAAGCACAAAAATCCTTGGAAGAAAGAGCAGTTACGCTGGGAGCCCGTTGGAGCACGCTATTCCGCGCATTCAGACATCCGCGTGGCCTATACTTTAATTACGAGACGGGAAACTGGGTTAATCACTCGCGATTCACGGGTTCGGGCGAGTGGAATTTTTCTTGCCGTCGATTTCAAGCGTGCGTTCACATCCGTCCAACTGCCGCGCGTTTGAAATTCAACGAAATTTCGGCGGAGAACACGAGCCCGCTCGTCTCGAATAATTCGAGCATGTTTCCCGGGGAACAGTGGAATCGAAAGCACTTCATTATTCCGGCAACAACCGCCCTTCTTCCGCAGCCATCGGAACGAAATTCATAAATCGTCGTTCCCGTTTCCCTGCTTGATGGAATATAAACACGATTCGGGGGCCGGAACATTTTTAATTCGTCACGTAACCCTTTAACGCCAATTTACTGTCCTCATTATTTTTAATTGCAACATTTTCCCGCACGCACGATGGAAAAATATAAAGAAAGTGTAAAGCACAATTTTCTCCCCTTGGAAACTTCACCTCTGGATGAATTAATAATTAAAATTCACGTGTTGCCCGCGGATTCGTTCATTAAGTAGAAACAGTGTGTAATCAACAGGCACCAAAGTATTTTCAATTCAATGCAACCTCTTTTCATCCTTTCTCATTACAATTTTAATATGCAAAGGCTATTATTCCAATAAATATAACAACACGTTGTTATTTAATTTTCCAGCAACATACATGCTCTAAGTAGAAACAGCGCGTAACGATCAGACACAAAAATATTCTCTCGAATAATACATCTCTTCAATTAAAATTCAAATTAATTCTCATTCAGCCTTTCTAATTGCAATTTTCGTTTCCAAAGAAAATTAATTAACTCCACAGAATAATCACAGTATTTAAATCTCCATAAGCATTTCATTGCCAACGGTATATTCAAACTAATATAAGCGTTCGTCAGCGATGTTCGCCATATGAAATGATTTCATTGGTCAATGGCGGTCGCGTTACATCGAGTTCCCCTCGTTTCATTATTTATCGGGCAAATTTATGACGAAGCTCGGGCGCCAGTGGTCCGCTCGGATTTACAGAGGACACTGGATCTCCATTTAAACTTTACGATAAACTCGCCGCTATCGATATTTCGGTTTCACCGGCGAGCACGGGAAAATTAAACGTCGTCCGGTGACATTCGACTTTCCGAACACGGTACCCGGCTTGTTTATGCGCGCGCAACGTCCCTCGTTGCCATTATTTGCTTAGCCGACTTCCGGATTTCGGGCACGCACGCACGCACGCGTGCGCCGCGTCCTCGTTAGGCCTGTCCCCTTAAATCTTCGTTCAAAGTTTATGATAAACCGACTAGTGCGACTAACCTGTGGGCGTGCATGGTGTTCTCGCTGCTTCCACCAGGTCCTCGCGACTTCCGGGCGGCGCTTCCAGCATCGTTCCGCTTCCGGAGAATTTTTTTACGCACAGCAGGCTCAACGCTGCAACAAAGGAAACGTGAAAACGTTCAATGAATCGTGAAAGAGTTTGGCATGTCTATCTGTAGATTTTTATGGGTTTCTTTTTTGAAGTGATCGACGTATGGAATGACTCGTGAATGTATCTGAATGTTTAAACAATTGGAGTTTATAGTGTATTGTGATAAATAAAGGAATACTTAATGATTTGTTACTGTTGGAAGTATTTGAAAATGAGAAACTGTAAAGTTTGATATGATGAAACTGGAATTTGTTGGAATTTTTTACAATATAAATTGGTTGTGGAAAGTGTTGTTAAAAAGTTGACAGTATTTAGAGTTTATTTATAGAGCATTTGGAATTTTTGGTCGTATTACAGTATGAGAAGTTCGTCTCGATAAGACTCCCTCAGGGCTGATGAATTATACTGTTTTTCCCTTGAAGTGATTCACCTTGTTATTATACGAACTTCCGGGGAATTTAGTGGGCAATAAAGTTTCCGCAATAATCCCTCCTCCGCAATGCTCCCCCGAGCAGACAGTAATTATTAACGGGCGCCCGGCTAAAGATCCACAAAAGAAGATTCGTGATTGGATAACCTTCTGCTATTGAAGTTAGCCGAGACCTCTGTCCGCCGGAGATTCAAGTATTTTTCGGTAGCTGGGAAACTCAAACAACCAGTTTACAGATTTATAGGGACGGTCTGGCCTCTAGAGAATTCGACAACTATCCATAAAATCTAGTTTGAAACTTCGCCGAGCTGGAAGAGACTGTCTGGCACACCGCCGACTCATTTCACTTATAATTAAGTTTCAGCCGCTAGTGTTCCGCTTGTTTGACGAGATACGAATCCTTGCACCACTCGTCTGACTAGATGAGAACCCTAATCTACTACTCCAATTAGGTACGAATCCCGTTTCACCTGTCTGACTATGGTCAAACCTGTTTCACTTGTTTGACGAGGGATCGACGTAGACCTTTTCCCCTTGCCTGACAAGTGCTGAACCTCTGTCACTTGACTTATTAATGAAAGAGATATATTTAATTCATCTGAACCTTAATGAACTCCGCTAAGCTTGTCTGACTAATGAATTCCATGTACCTCGTAATTGATTCAAAGCTTATTAGATGTATAATCAGAACTGTCAGTTTATTCACGTTTCTCCACTACTTTCGTCTTCCTACTTTCCCTGTTTCACAAGTAAACTCGTTCCCGATGCATCACAGCAAAATATCCCAGATATTACACACGTCTCGCAAATGATTGACCTTTTCCACCAGCTTCTGTACCTGTCAATTTAATATTCATCCACTTCCCATCCTCCTCGACCGAATGGATTTAGCGAACTCGACGATATCATTCAATTCCCAGAGAACACTCAGCTACACTGTTGCATTTGCTACAATTGACAATCCTCCCTATCGAATCAAAAACATTCATCCAGCCCACTGATGTCTCATTCTTGATTCAATCAATTTCTCGCTGATCAATCTGTAACATATTCCTCTTACTACACAGTAATCCTATCTTGCCTGAGTTGTTCGACCACTCGAACTTTTCCACTTGCAAAACCCGTTCCGCAATCCAACAACTTCCCGTCCATTTATCTGAAACTATCAACAATGCACGCTAATTCCTCGTATCTATCATACACCGTCGAACTTCCGCCTGCACGGGGTCCCTCGACGAACATTCCCCATAGTTCGCGTCAGAAATGCGTGTTCCGTTTTCCAGGGAATTAACAACGGAACCGCAGGTCCGGTGACGGGCCGTCTCGCAACACCTGCGACATCCTTTTTCATGCAATTAAGCATCGACGGAGGCAGCGGTGACGCCGAAGGCAGAGCACACGTCGCCGCGGGGAGCGCAGCGCCCGCGCGCGCGCACGCTGCGCGGTATGCGTTTTAATTAAATTTCCCCAACGACGTTGCCGGGGCAAATACACGTCGCACGTAATGCCGCGTGCACACGTGCACGGGCTCCGGCGCCGGGTGCACGGGAATACTCACCTGTCCGATGCGCGGAGCGCGAGCCAAGCTAATACCGCTTCACCTTTGTGCCCGAGCGCCAGCCAGAAAGAGGGTATTAACAACACCGTTGCGCCGTTTCGCGGCGGTGACGCTTAGGGAGCAGTCTGCATGATTAAGTTTCCAGGCGCATGAAACGCGCGTTTGGGGATTGTTTTTCTTTGCGTGCCTTGCCGCTGCGTTTCTGGGGTTGCGATGTCTGGAGGAGTGGTTTCTTGTGAGCCTTGATAGTTTGGAAGTTGGTGTGTATGGTATTTTTGGGAAAGTTCCTTTGTTGGGGATTGGGGTTGATGGTGGTTTTGATGGATGGAGATAGGGAAATGGAGAGATACAGAGGTATAGCGATATAGAGACATAGAGAAGGTATAGAGGTATAGAGGTATAGAGGTATAGAGA